CATAAATAGAATTAATCCAACTCTGTGTTTCCCTTAAATATCATGTACATGTGACTTTAAATATCAGATGCCGTTTTTCTTTTCTTTTTTCAATTTACTCAGTATATTATTATTATTGGGTATATCTCTTAATTCTCTGGAGGTTATTTTCAATACTTAATTACATTTTCAAGTATTTGTTGCATCTAGTTTCCATTTAGTTATATGATTCTTTTTTTCAATGATTTCTGCTATTTTCTCATGTTTTTTTTCTCTTCTAAGAAAATTGTTAAGAGTGTTAGGATTAATCTCTTGTACTCAAAATTTCTTCCATTTGTAGAAATGTAAAAGTCTTTGAAAACAAAAAAAATGCATGAAGCACAAGGATTCCAAGTGTAATATATATTTGAAGAAATCTGGAGAACATCTCTGAGAGAGTTAGAATGCTGTTTCAAATAATAGTCAGAATAACAACATTACTTCATTTAAAAATTTCAGACCTTTGTTATTGACCAGGTTCTTGATATTTTTATTTTCAATATTAACATTTTCATGGTACCATCTGAAGATTGGTACAATTAGAGTAACCCTCAAGTTAAGCTAGAATTAACTTATTTATACTATATATGGTAATGGTAATATTAGCCGTTTCCTTATAAGGAAATATTTGGCATTCATTGACTGAGTTGCCAGTACTACTTTTAACAGAAATTTAAAAATTTTTCTCTTCAAACAATTTTTCAGGAAAACAGGTTTCTCAAGTTCAGCAGCTGTTATCACTCTGGTATTTATAAGGGTTTCCTTCCTAACCTTTTATTTGAAGTAGTGTGGAATGTCAACATCTTGATGATGTCATTTTCTCTTTGAGTTACATGTGCTATCCATTTTAGTTGTTGCTGCTGTTGAAAGATCTGTCATTTGTTACATTTCTTTATGATTCTCTGCCACCAGTTCACAGTTCAAAGAAGTGTGAATTCATAGCTGAAAGCCATTTTTAACCATTAATCTTAGAAAGCAGTTGTATATAACTGACAGTTTAGATATTTCTAAATGGGTCTGGTACCATGCATGATATCCATATGAAAGTCTTGATTTTACTACGCTGTTTAAGATCATGACTCAAGTTTTCAGGCTGACATCTTGGTTTTGTAGCAATTTGCAGTATTGGGTGAAACTACCTCTACCACAACCAATTTCCTTATCTCCTATAAAAATTTGTTATAACTGATCCATCCATGAAGTGTTCAGTATTTGCTAATTCCACATCCTGGAAGAGATGCAAATATTCAACAAAGATGTCACAATCTGTTTTGTTGACTTTCACAAGACATTTGATTCTATCAACAAAGATTTCATATTCAAAATCTTTCAACTCTATGGTATACCCTCCAGAACAGTTAGAGCTCTGTACAGAAACACCACTGCTACCATTGAATCAACTGATGGCAAGACTGATTCCATTGAAGTGAAAGCAGGTGTTCTACAAGGCAACACACTTGCTCTTTTTCTGTTTATAGTTGTTCTGGACTATGCTCTGTGTATTTCTCTTGACAACAAGGAAGAAAAAGGACTCTTTTTGAAATCTCGCCAGAGCAGTCAGTACCCTCCACAATACCTGACTGACCTTGACTTTTTCGGTGATCTTGCATTCTCAATGTATCAAGGACACAGTCCTTGCTGCAATCACCTAAGCAAGCAGTAATTCATGTACATCTCTATACCTATTGTATCAAAATATGGCTGGGTCTTTTTTGTTGTACTAGAAAATTTTATTCAGCTTTGATAAATTGATAAATATTAGTTGTTTGTGACAAATACTATTAACTTTTGACAAGAGACTATCAAAGAGTAACAGTTAAACTTTATAAAAGACAAGTATTTTGTTCTTTTTTTCTTTCTTTTTTTTTTACAGCAAATTTATACAGGCTATCAATTCTGTAGCTTGGCTGTTGACCAGATTTTCTAGAGTTAAAAAGGGATGTGAGTTCAAATCTCACCAAGTGCTTACCTTTTATTTCACTGCTAAAGAATTGATAAAACTGCTATAAAAAGAAATTAATAATAAAAAATGAATGCTCATGATTAACAAAGCCTTATCCAATAAAAAGTAAAAATAACATTGTTGTTACTGATAATATAAGTTTACCTTAAAAAATGACAGTAATATAAATTTGCAAATGCATTGTATTTAAAATATTAAAAAAAATTTGTTGCTCTATATTTTCTTGTTTATATTTTAACTTTCTGAATATTAACTAAAAGTAAAAATGAATAAATATAACACTCTATCTACTGTCTTGTCTCCATGCAATAAATCAAACTAATCTTTAATATATATATTTATATATATCTTACTTTTAAAAAATAAAAGGTCTATATAATTACAGAGCCAACTACAAATTAAGAGTTCCTTTAACACAATATTTCTAGTATAAACATGTTATGGCATTTTGAATTTTTCACCAACAATGTCTAATGTATGCACAGATACTGATGTGTCAAAAGTCAGGGGATAGCAGTTTTTAAATGTAATAGTAAGTTGCACTACTGTAACCAGGCATCATAGAAATGTCTAGATCTACATCAGTTGTACTAGTGTGTCGGTGTGAGTACCACCTCGGCTGCTCATTGCAGGGTCACATAAATTATCAAAGATCAAACAGAGTGGGATAGTGGGTTTCAGACAGATGGGATATTAGACATCTCTGCTGATGGTGTCATGTGTGTACCAGAAATGCCTGGTGAAGTGCATTGCTGTCCACTGTGGACAGTACAGTGGTCTATCACGAGTTTTTAATCATCATGACCATCTGGCTAGAATTGTTTGCAGTAACAGCCAAGTGAAACTGGCTTAAATCACATTTGCATTTAATGCAAGGAGTCAGTTCAGCTTCTTTAGCTTCTATGAGATATGGGAACAAAAGACACACCAGAGTGTCCCTGTTAGCACAATGGCACAGGACACAAGTGTCTCACTTGGGTTTGTAATACTGCTGTTTGAACCCTGGACTAACAACAGGACATGGTCTAATAAGTCAAAGTTCTAATTGTTTGAGACTCATGGTAGAGTTTAGAGGTGGCACAGACTCCTTGAGCTATGTATCCCACTTGTCATTGAGGCATTCTGTAGCCTGGTGATGCTTTCATAATGGTATGGGTTGTGTTCATGTGGCATGGGTTGGATCCAATAGTTTGACTGAACATATCATTGACCACTGACTACAACACTGTACTGCTTTGATCATTTTCACCCACTTACAGACTCCATGTATCCCAACAATGATGTATTATTCTAGGAGGTAATAATGCACTGTGTAATCAGGGTCAGGCTACCCAGAATTGGTTTGAGGAACATTCTGGAGATTGCTAATGAATGGTATGGTTGTCACATTCACCTGGCATGTGCCTAACCAAGCATTTATGGGATATGGTAGAGAGATTTCTTTATGCACAAAATTCTAATATCAGGGAACCCTAGATAGCTATCAAGGCAACATGGCTCACTATGACTTTTCATCTATCTGTATATACACAGACAGCATATAGAGACATTGCATTTACATTTGTATTCACTGAAAATCTTTATAATTGTAATTTTATTTTTTCTTCCTCTTTGTGCCAATTGATACATTGAAGAAAGCTTTGTATGTCTTCTTTCCCTCCAGATGCTTTACTATCACTGAGCAAATTTCATTTAAGATTTAACCTAAACAACAATCGCATAATATTTTTTGAATAATAGATATGGTCAAATAAAGTCTGAATGATATTTGTTAAAAATACATATGCTTCACTGTTGCATTCTAAAATTTCTTTTTATATAAATACATTCTATGTAATGATGGCATTACTATGTAAGAATAAGATATACTGTTTATTTACAAAACATATCAAACTTGAAAGTCAAATTATACTGGTAATCTAAAACCTCTTTTATATGCTACTTTTCAAAAGTTTACTTTATACAACTTTGCTTTCATGAGAAAAAAAAAACTTGAGTAAAAGGTTTTCCTGCTATCAAAAATGGTGGAAAATGAAGAAGCAATTATCATTAAATTTTGAGTGCTCACATACCAGAAACCCTATGCCTACCTGTTCCAAGGTTGAGGTTCATTGTCTGCTATAAGCTGATGTGAAAAACTTAAAAATACAACAGTATTTTTGACTGCTTAGTCTCATGCTTTTTTCTATCACTGGTAGCATCATGCAAACCTGATCTAAACTTATATACCCTTTTTCTTCTATTTTTTACAATCATTGCAGCATTATCAAGCATAGTGAAAATTTCATACAAGGTCATTTTTGGGGTCTAGGAACACTCAACAAATTTTTCCCATATAAGTTAATGGTATTCACTTCTTCCATTTACATCATAATAGCTTATGAAAGGTTTCATGAGAATGCTCTACATTTGGAGAGACACGGAAAACTTGTATAAATATTCAATGACTATAACAAAATAAAATACTTGGTGTAAGAATAATTTATAATGCTTGTAAACAAAATATATAATTTTTGAAAGGCAATTCTTCCTGGATTCCAAGGAGCTTATTATTTCCCCTACTTATGATCTTTCATTTGAAACTAGCATAGTACTCATAAAAAAAATGTTAAAATTATTTATGTACGATCAGCACTTCTGCCTTAGATCAAAATATCACTCACTGGTGCTTCTGCCACAGATCAGAGTATACTGGGAAAAGTGTTACATACAGAAAAAGAACAGTGTGGTACAAAAATCATTTTGGCTCTTAATCAAAAGGTAGACAGTTTCTGTTTAGATATATACAAATTTGATTGCTGGAAAAACCTTCCAAATTTTCATAAAATACCTCTAACAGAAACAAATGAAATATAAGTAAAAAAGTTGTTTAAGTCTTAAAAGTGAAAATGATTTTTGTGCAACCATTTACATTTGTGTAATGATTTGCATTTTCTTATGTTTCCAACATTTTTTTTCTTGTCTTTGTTATTCTCTTAGGCTGTATTAATTAGTTTTTTCTTTAATTGTTTTACAGAGGATGGAGGATTCTAGTGGTGGTAACGAATCAACCAACGCCATTAAGTACCCGCCTCCCGCCGCTGTATCCTCCAGCAGTGCTCGGCCATATCGCTGTGAACTGTGCCAGCGTTCGTTCCGCGAGGTGGCAACACTGCGCAAGCATGAACAGCTCCATCGAGCAGATCGGCCATACGTGTGCGCGACCTGCGGTAAGTCATTTCTGTGGTCATCAAATCTCAAAGTACATGAGAGAGTTCACACTGGTGAAAGACCTTATAAATGTAAGATATGTCACCGCTGCTTTACACAGAGCAACGATCTGCGCCGGCATGAGCGCAATGTACATATGCGTGGCAAACTTTATGGTTACAGAAATCCCGTAAGACCCACACCGCAGGTCAACCTAGCTGCCTACCAGGCTTTTGCGATGCAGCAGAGAGCACTGCTGCAACAGGCATTGACTTATGAGACTCTCATGCACAACACAACGACAACGACCTCAGGACCACCAGTTCCGTCTAACTTGGCACTCCATGAGCAACAACACCAACAGACTGGGTTGATGCAGGGAAAGCCACCGCCTCAGCTTGACCGGTCCTCACAGCAACAGCACCAACAACAACATCAAAGAGATATTCAGAACCTGCAAAATGAGCAACAGCAGCAGCATTTGCAGGCCATTACATCTATGAGTTCAATCAAACTGGAGCAGGTGACCCCACCAACAACACCGTCTGAAATGGATGAGCAGCAGCAGCAGCAGCAGCAGCATGGTGTCCATAAGAGCATGGCCAGTAGTAGTGGTAGTGGCCACACTGTAGAAACAACGACTTACGTGCATGCCAGCACACCTCCTAGCTTGTACACAATTGCCATGCCCTCACGAAGCGTCATACACTCTCCACCCTCATTGACTTCTGTGGCTGAGATGAACTCCTCTGAACTTATGAGAGCATCATCAACAGAAAGCCAGAAAGACAAGGAAAAGCAATACCCCTCTACCTCATCAGCATCACAAATTCTATCACCCTCGAACACTTCATTAACAGATCTACCTCAATCTGCCCAGATGGCACCACCTATGTCGACCTTGACCCGTACATCTGAGGACAGCGTTATGGACTTGAGCATGAACAAGTCTACAGCGACTGTTTCAACCGCAAGCTTGGTATGTGAAACAGCAACGTCAGAGCATTATCACTGGAAGCGAGGTAGCTTCATACAGACGTCAAAAACTCCAAGCTTAGATTCAGAATCTGAAGAAAAGCGTGACGTGACAACTACCTCTGCAACTCCAACAACAGACGTTGGATTTCATCAGTGTTATCACTGCGGGATTTACTTTCATGACTACACAATGTTCCACCTCCATCAGAGTCTGCACTCACCAATTGACGAAGATCCATTTCGATGTCCGTCCTGTAACAAGCACTGCCAAGACCGAATTGAGTTCACGTTCCACATTGTTTGGCATGTCAAGTATCCTCACACTATACCAAATTATCAACCTTTCAAGGAGAGCTACCTGTGCTGACTATATGATCACAGGAGCCCTCTATTCTCTCAGGTAAGATCTTTTTATCAAGAGAGTTATTTTCTTTTGTTACTGATTACCCAGTGTTTTCATAAGTTGCTATAATTTGCAAACAAAGAAAAAGTATGGCAAATATATAAAACGTATATTTGCCCAAGTTAGTAAATGTGTCTTCTCTACAAAACACATGAACAAACAACATCATTAAAAATATTCTGTTTTTACTTCTAGGTTTTTATATTAGATTTTTTAAACAATCAAATTTACACAGCATATTTCCATTATCATTTAGAATTTTTACGTGCTGAATTTAGCAGTAAAAGTTAACTGAATTTAAAACTTCACTACTCCGATTTTATTTTTGGGTCTATTTGGTCATTTCAATACAATTTCAGTTAACTTGGGAACTACATCTGTATGCGCCAGTGATAGCTTCTTGAAATTATTGTGTTTCATCTTCTAAGGTGCTATGCCTAATTGCTAAAATTTTTATATTAAATTCTATAAACTAAAACCTATCATAAAAATTACCAAGTTAATGATTTTTATGATTTTAAAATCCAAGCTATAAAATATTTAGTTAGGCTTTTATTTTGTGGATAAAGTTATAACATAAATCCTAATAAATAAAACAAACTTTAAAATTATTTTTCCTCTTTATTATATTGATTAAGAATTGGAAAATAAAAATAGAATGTTTCAAAATTGTTAAACTCTAACACACATGTGCACACATAGAAAAATCTATTTCTTGGTGCTTGTACCCAATATTTCAAATATTTCGACAACAATACAAATACATAAGTACAGTATATGAAAAGATTTTCAAAACCTGTATATGATGCTTCAAAATGGAATTTGAAAGACACTTGTTGACAAAAGATCCTTTCCTAAGGAGTAATTAAATATGCTATGTCAGTCAGTTATTATGACAGTTGCTAAAACAGTTCAGATTATACCATGTGATGACTAAATATGATAGTCACAGATTAATCAGTTATTTTCTAATAGTATAGATTACAAATAATAATATTCTATCAAAAGCATTCAATTTGAATGTACCTGATGCAAGTTTCAATAGAGGAAGGAAAAAACAAGGAAAATTTTGTCTGGAAGTATATGGGAGTTTTGGTTGAACAGAATTAAAAGAAGACAGTTGGCTGAGCTTATAAACTGAATTACAATTGGTAACCAAAGGCAGTTTATAAGAAAAACATTTTGTCATGATGTATATCCATAAAATTCATAAACCTACTGATATCAATTGATTGTGATTCAGATCTGGTAATGTAAAAGCTTAAAAAAATTGATTACAAAACAAAGTAGATTATGTAAAAGAATAACATCAATTTTTTTTCAAGTGATATTTTATTGTGAGATAATTTCTTTAATATTTTAAGAGTTTATTAGATATGTTTAAAGTCTATCTTAGTCTGGCACAAGAAGACAAGAGTGGAGCATCCCAGACAGATCAGAATCATTGTTCTCATCTGTGAGATTAGATATATAGTCATATTTCTAACAGAACAATTGAAAGAAGTCTTTGCATTGCTATAATTCCTATTCTTCTACAAAAAACATGCACACAGTATATATCTTTTTTTTAATACAAAAGAAAATATCTCACATTTATCAAGACACAGTTATACAGCAAACTATATATATATAATTTTGGTATTGTTATTCAATAAACCTTGTTTGAAAAAAAAATCTTGTTTACTCATTTACTTTTTAAAAGATGGCTTTGTTTGCATCCTAATCATTTGAAAATATGCTTCTTAGGTTTGAGATACCTGTTTGTTCCTTAAACATAAAGGCATGCTTATATATAATGTTATATATATTACTCAGTATGTGCTTATATATATGTGTGTGTGTAATTGTGTATTTGGATAGCAATTCCTCTTTTGTACAAATTTCATTAAAGACGATTGATAACGCACTGCAATTAAGTTTCTATTCAACATTTCTTGTTTGTATAAGTGTATTCTTTCCTGGATATAAAGTGTGTAGAAACTGTTCAAATGTTCCATATATCTGATATTTTTACACATTTTATGACCAGATAAGAAAACACTTATACAAAAAAAATACAAGAAAAATTGAATGAAAAGCTTAATCACAGTAACTTGTCAGTTGTTTTTAATGAAATATATATACACACACACATACATAATAAATTTATTCAGGAAATGAAACAAAAAAGCAAATAGTAAATGAAAATCGAAATCACTTGACCATGGAAGGAAAACAAAGAGATAATACAGTAATAATTCCTAAGAACATTTCTGACAAAGAAATTTACTTAAGGTTAAAACACACCATATTCCATAGACACTGTCATATTTTATTTTTTTTTTTTTTTTTTTTTATTCATGACTGTTTTCACAATAAAATTGGTATTAACTAATCCATGTAGGTAAAATCATGAGAACTATAACATGTGAATTTTATCTTATGATATCAGTTTTTATTAGGAATATTTACAATAATTTTTTTGTATTGTGAGACTTTATCATACAATCTGAGGATTGTTTGTCATATTATGAATAAAGGTATATATAATAGTTATTGATACATATTTTTAAATCTCAAATTTATATGACTGTCAAAGGTTGTAAGCAAAATATAACCGCAAAGGAGAAACAAAATATTGTAAAGTTATTTAGGGATGAGAACACAATGTTGGAAATTGAAAGAGACATGAGAAAGTGTTTTTTTTTTTTTTTTAATCATTTCAACTCAAGCAAGACAACAGAGCCACTAACACACAAGGGTTTACTGAGTCTGAAAGAATATAAGAAAAACATTATTAAGCAGTGAGAACAATAAAAGGACAGACTGTAACGATTGACATTATATTTAAATTTTTCAAGATCAAAGATGACTGGAAAGTAAGAAGATGGAAGAAAGTCTCACAAATGAGAAGTCTGAGGAAAAAAAACTATTAGCATGGAACTTAGTTACATCTAGCCATTTCGACTCTAAAATGATGACATCTTGCCATCAATCTAGTAATGCACTTAAATTCATAGATTCTAAGTACCATAGAGAAGAGTTCATCAGGACATTTACCATGAAAGTATTTATAGAAAAGGTCAAGATGCCAGGTCAGGACCAATAACATTGCAGATTTTTCTTTATATTTTATTAAGGATCTCTAAATATCTAACAGGAGCACCAAAGCATATGTGGCAGCAATATTCTAAGCCTAGATGAATAGTAGACTTGGAGAGAAAAACTATCAAGCACAACACAGTGAACCAATCTTCCAGCAGCAGACCTAGTAATCATTTCAATATAATCTTTGCACTTCATGTCAGTGGGAAAAATTAGCCTGAGAAGGTGCAACAGGCCACTGTTCTGGAGGCTAGTGCCAGATATGCTGATAGAAGGTAGAAAGTGTTCTCACAGGCAATTAATAAAAGCAGTTTCATTATTTAGGTTAAAATTAACAAGCTAGTTCTTGTTCCAGTTAACAAGAGAATGTAGGTCATTTTTTTTTTTTTTAGATCAGCTGCCAATTTGACCTTATGAAACCACTCAGACTTACTTACTATTAAGACAGAAATAAATGGTTGTCTCATCAGCATAGATACCAAGTTGAGAATTGATGATATTAGAAAGGTCATTGATGAAAATTAGGATCAATATAGGTCCAAGGTGAGATGCCTGTATTAATGCAAAATTATCTAAAAGAGTGACCATTCAAGACAACTTTCATTTTGCAATTTGATAAGAAAGATTGAATCAGTTCAAAAATTCATCCAGAAATAGCATATCCTTTCAACTAATGAAGAGGACCAATATGTCAAATTCTGTCAAGTGCCTTTGAGATATCCAAAGCAACAGCCTGAACTTAACCATTCTTATCTAAAGTTTGATAGACTCTTTCAGCAATAACCATTAGGACAGTTGACATAGAGAAGCAAAAGCCATATTGTTTATTTGAAAGAAGACACTGCAAGGTGAGATACTTAACCAATTCAGAGTTGATTACATTGCCAAAAAGAGGTAGAAGGTTCTGATGAAGTAGTTGTTGCAAATATAAACAGAAAGAAAAGATGCAGAATATTACAGACAGAGGTGAAATAATATACAAGCAAGCAACTAACCTCCCAAAGAGAACTGATTTCTTAACAGTAATTTAATAGTAATGACTGTATAACTCTAATGGCGAGGCTAGAGATTAGATCCTTCATGAAAATAGTCAACCATCATGGAGAAATGTAGTAATGTATTTGAGCAAGTATTGTAGGCCATAAAATTATAGATCTGTTCAAAATTGATGGTAACAAGATAAATCTAAAATAATTTATTCAGGTATATGGGTGAAAGTTTTCATGAAGTATGTTTTTATGGTCGATATTGAATTGATTTATAAACTAGCTTAAAAGCTACCCTATTGGAGGAGTAGATGCACCAACACTGAATTCAAAATTGTTTATTGCATTTAAGTATTGCATTAATATCTCAGCTTATCTTTTAAAAGTTCAACAATTCTTCTGCCACCACTTAATTTAAAGACAATTTGATGAACGTAGGTCCTTACTTTCCATACAAACAATTATTTTTATTTCATGGGTGACTTTTGCTGGATTTCACAATTAATTTTGATTATTCCCAAATTTATTTCCAAGTTAAAAAATTGTTGTAAAAAATCATGTACAAAAATCACCAAAAACAATCACAGTAATGAAGACTTGGGAATCCACAATTTCAGGATTGCAGGTACAGCCTCTAGGTGTAAAGTTGAAAAAGTGTGACACACTGGCATTCACATTTATTATCTAGAAGATGAGATATTGAAAGTTAAAGAGTTATGTCCCTTTAACTGAAAAAGTGTGACACACTGACATTTGCATTTATTATATGGATAGAAATTATGTTGTACTTACTTTGCATCATAAAATCTGACATACCCAAACAAAGTTATCAATATTTTTAATAAGGTTAGATATTCTGTGCTGAAACTCTATCAATGCTTATATAAATATATCCTGGAAATTTCAACAACATGGATTGGTTCATACCAAATTTTTTTTTTTTTTTTTTTGTGAAAACATTAATTTGTATAATAACATTTGATATTATTTGAACTAGCATCTTGTTTTGATTATTATATTTTGCCTAGTGCAATTCCCAGCCCTCCTTTAATAAATGTTATATTCACTAATCTTTAAACTGAACCCTTTATTTTAACCACATTTGTCTAAAGTGAAAGTATCAGAATTACAAGCCAAAATTAGCCAATATTTTGATAAATCAACAAAGCACTCTCCATGTTTTTGTTTTTGTATTTTTTTTAATCATTTCACACCAACCAAGGCAAGGAAAGCCACTAACATGCAAAGGTTACTAATAGTGAAAGAAACAGAGCAATCAATAAAAGAACAGGATTCAAGGAGATAGAAGATTGCGTGTAAATTTTTGAAGATCATAGTTAACAGGAAAGCCAAAATAGAGTTGCACAAGTGAGAAGTGCAGGAAAAGAAACTATTGGTTGTAAGTTATATTAGCATAGAACTTACAACAAACAATTCCAGCAGTTATACTATGAAACCTAACTGCCAATTTAGTACTGCACTTAAATTCAGGCAAATCAAAGAGGAAAACTTATCAGAATAACTGCCATGAGAATATTTAGGCACAGGGAAGCTATATTATAGCAGTAGGAAAGTGACTGATACCAAGATGCCAGGTCATGACTGATAATGTTGTAGATTCTTCTTTGGATTTTGTCAAGAATATCTAGATATATAACAGAAGCACCAGTCCAGATGTAGCAGCATTATTCAATGCACAGACGAATGATAGACTTATAAATGTACAAGATAGATTCTGATGAGAAAAATTATCTAGCATAACATAGTGAACGACTTTCAAAGCAGCAGATTTAGCAAGTGATTCAATATAATCTTTCTACTTCAAGTTGGTAAAAAACTGGAGACCAACAATGTGCAGTAAGTTACTCTCCTGAAGGTTAGCATCAGCCATCCTGATGAAAGACAAAAATGGTTCTTTTAAGATAATTAATAAAAAGCAGTTTTGTTTTGAGGGGATTAAAATTAACAAGTTAACAATAGATTAAGGTCATTTTCAAGATCAGTTGCAAATTTGATTTTATTGAACCTATCAGACTTAAGACAGGAGTAAATAGTTGTGTCATCAGCATAGATACAGAATTGAGTACTGCTAACATTGTGAAAGTTGTTGATGAAAATAAGAATCAAAGTAAGTCCAAGAGGAGAATCCCGTGGGATACCTTGCATGTACTGGAGTTCCACTCATAAAAAGCCAACCTGATTTTATTTGGCTGAAATAATTTGTAATGGTAATTTACGTCTCATGAGTACCTACCTTGTATAGAATAGCAGTGAATATTTTTTCATAGCAGAAACCCTCATTTATGACACCTCTTAAGTGACCACTGACTTCTAAGACTGTCTTAATGACATGTTACACAAACTTAGTACAGTGGAGATGAGATTATACAGGAAAATAAAATATGTTCTTATTTTTACCCAACAAATTGAATTTTATGTTTTAATAAGCTAATTACAAAATAAAAGCATTTTTGTGAGATTTGAAGTTTGAAGAACTTTATTTATGGATCATTCAAAATATTGATTGGCATCATTTAACAGCCAGCCATTTCCTCCAAGAAAGATTACCAACAGCAATACTTGCTAAGCAAGTTTACAGAGAAGTTTGAAGAGAAAAAACAAACAAGCATCTATTGTTTTTATGAATTTGCATTTTTATTTCTTATTTATCTTGTATATGAATATTCAAAATCTTTGGGAAGTCGTTAGCATGTGAATCAGCTTTCTTCATTCTTCTTCTCTGATGTTTCATTTCCAACACCCACCCCAACTCTAAGCATAACCTGCAAACTGGCCACAAGCCAAAAGGAAGTATCGAACACCAGTCAGAGACCAACACAAGCAGACTGTTATGAAGTTGGTAGTTTTGTCTGCTGCCTTGGACCACTCCCTTCATCCTTCCCTGCACCAGGTCTCCATCTAACCACTTGTGCAGTCAGCCCAGGGAGGAGGCTGCTATTTTGAGATAGGGAAGACTTGTCCAACTGCCAAATCTAGTCACTACTGATTCTCTTTACTCATGTTATAGAACAGAAAGTTTTCAGAATTTGGAGAATCATCTAGAAATAGTTCTGATCATTAAACAAGCTTGCAAAATCAGTCAAAAGAAATGGGATGGCCAGCAGAGTTCATGCTGATCAACATGCTGATCTTGTGTTCCCAATGAATATGTTGTTGCTCTATTGTCGTTTTAGTATTTTTCTCACCGATTCATTTTCAATCCTCTGTCATCCTTATAAGGGTGAATTGAACATAGTTTTTTTTTTCTTTTTAACTTGTCTATCCAAGCAAAACATTAGTGGTACACAGTAATAAAAGTCTTATTTTAGTAAAGCATTTTACCATAGCTGATGTCCCATAATACTCCCTCCTGCCATTTCAGCAGGTTTCATATCTTTTTTCTTTCTTTTTTGTTAGATGGCACATTGAATATTATTACAACTTCATGAATGTACTCTATTTGGCCCAGTTCAAAACAGGTTTCCTTTTGTGCATTTGTTACAAAATTATGAAATTTTAACATTTGAGGGCAGAAGGGGATTTTATATGCCATCAAGTATGGAAATTGATAAAAGCTGTAATTTACATTGACAAATTGTATTACTCATGTAATTAAAAATGATTTCTGGAACTATGGTCTGTAAGATTAATTTTCATGTGTGAAGTAGTGCCGAAAAGTTTTCAACCCTACCCTTACTCAACTTCTTACTCTGGCCAAGAACTTCCCAGTACCACTCCATATTGTCATACAGTCAAAATGAAATTGTTCATGATGAGAATTATTCATTTGTTTATTGCAGAGATGTTATAATAAACCTGCAAATAATAACTGTAAATCACTATCTTTCCATTATTAATTACTGTAAGCAGATGCTCAACCAGACATTCAAAAGTAAATGTTTTGTTTGCAAAATTAATATCTATAAATTATTTTTGCTGTACACAAACTACAGAAGTTATAAAAAAATAATAATGCCCTTTTATAAACTAAATGCTTGATTTTTCCTAGTTTCTCAAGATTGCTTCCTAGAAGTTAATTCCATTTTCATAGAAATATATATATATATATATATATTTATTTATTTTTTTTATCTTTCCAGGTGACTTACTACCTCAGTAATGGATAATTCCTGGAGGAGTTGTCAGAACCTTTCCAGTGGCCATACAATGATGTTTATTATATATATATATATATATATATATATATATATATATATATATATATATATAAAGCACAAATAATCAGCCAACATAGACAATTGGTCTAAAACCAGTCTTGGTGGAAGATTATTATGTGGGCATCACTGATGGACTTCAAAGCATCTTGTTAATCAGGTTATTCTTTGTCATTGATGTGCAATGTTTATTTTTTTTGTATTCATTTGTTTTCTTTAAACAGATCATGTTGTTGGCTGTCATCAGTGTTTACTGGCAGTACACCTATGGTATTGTACAACTGATTAATACTAGTACATATTGTCAATATCAAGTACCAGTCTGTCAGTGTAATTATCAGTTCATGTGTGTGATATGTACTTATGGACATAACAGTAGATGGTCTGTGGTTCATTATTCAATCATGTCACTTGATGCCACTGATGGAGACACATATTCCTATTTGCCTATGTAAAGATGCCCAATACCTAGCACTTTATGATTTAGCATTGGAAATCCAAGTATTAACATCTCCATTTGACCTGTCAAATTTTCTTCTTGTCTACTGACTGTATTCACTGATGAATTCTACCTATAGTAAAACTGCTTAATTCAGCTTCTAAACAATTTATTTCTTAAATTAAGTTTTGGTTTTGTTCAATTTACAGTTGTAAAACCAATATATACTATTATTTGTAAAACATTTTCAACCAGTATCCAATTTTTCATATTACCTAAATACTACCAGCCAAAACTGTTTAACCAAAGATTAATGTCCCATTCTTTTTTAAGTGATCACTTGGACTGTAACTTTACTTCTAATTTTGTGATTGTGCTTATTGGATGATATTTGTGCTGACTGCTCTTTACCTTCTGTAAGTATATTTCAAAGTGTTGTTTGTCTGGAACGGCGTTCAATTTAGATTTTCTGTTCAGTATGATTATTTATATTGAACTTGTAAATGATTTTGGCATTAAACACAAGCTTCTTGCAAATAACAAAGGCTAAAAGACATTTCCTAAAATTTGATGCACACAAAGACCAAAACACAATTCAAAAATAAATTAGGAAAGTTATTCCATTTTTTCACCTTTTTAAAAATTATAAAACAATGTACCTATTTTTTTTTAAAATTTGCAGTAAAATAAGAATTTGCATTAATTTATTTCAGACATTTCTCAGCAAATTTTAACACAGTTTACCTCTCAAATTAAGCTAATATTAAACATATATGAAATTGTGATGAAAATATTTTTGACTATTTTTTTATCAATTGAGTCAGTATTTTAACATAAAGATCACTTAAAATGAAAAAGAAAATTTAGAAAATGTTTAATCTTTTATTTACAAAATTGCATATTTATTAACTTGCTTCTTGAACTGATTCAATCTTTATAACTGAAACTCCAATTATGTTTTATTATTAAAAGAACCAAATTTATCCTATAAATTGTTTCCTGAAATGATTCCATATCTCTTAATTTTGTTGTTGTTACTAATGAATTTTAATTAAAAAGAAAAAGAAGCAATCTTAAATTTTTTGCTTTTTGTTTCTTCTAAAAGATTCATTTATAAATAAATTTGTTACAACTGTTCATTATGTTAAAATGTGATTTTTTTTAATCCCAGTACTTACTATAAACTATTTTTGTTTTTAAACACCTTCTTTTGTATTTATTTACTATCTATTTGATAAAATTATTTGAACTCTAATCGCAGAAAGAAAATTCTGTGTAATAAATCTTGGTACTGGTTGAATTTGTGGAGTTCTTCTAAATGTATTTTTTTTGTTTGCTTTTTTTTTCTTTTTTTTTTTTTTCTTCTGCTGCTGCTCCTCCTGTTCCACTATACAGGAAGTGTTTCTATACCATGCTGTACTGTTTGTCACCTCACTGACCTTGCTCATTTGTGGCAGTACTTCTAAATTGACTGATTGTGATGTTGCATGTCCATGACAACTATGTCAGCCATTCTGCTCAAGTGCTGCAAAAGGAAAACAACTTTTTCCTTCTATTCAAAACTCTAAATGAGCCAAGTCTATCACCGATTCACCTCTATGAAGGAGCACCACAAATATGGAAAAATAAACCAAGTGAAAAAGAATGTTGAAGACATCATATTTTCATTTGTTTAAGATTAAATCCATTCTTATTTGTCACTATATGCAGAGGCTACTTCATTATTAGAAAAGTGTTTAAAAAAACACTTACAGTAAAAATTAAAAATAATTCTGATCTTTATGCTCATAAATTTTTAGTTAAAACTGACAATGTTAAATGTTATTACTTATCATATTTGACGGCATGTCAGACACATTCTCATTTCTGGAAAATATAGTTTATTTATGGAAATGAATGAAAGCAGTTTAGTAATAGCAAAAACATTACTGTATATAAAAAGCAAAATAGCAGCAAAACTGAATATAAAACAAGGAATCACAATGTAAACACACTCACCCCATCATTCATTCATTGCCTGCTTCACATAATGAATATATTTCTCTGCAGCTTTAATGATAGGTTTCCCAAGTTAGTGTTTTACCATTGCTCATATTTCCTTTTAGTTACACCTCTTAAGTTTCCTGCTGGTTAATGACAGGAGTTTGTTAAAGCAAATTTAAGTAAAATGGATAAGTTGATACTTACACACATTGCCAGTACTTTATGATAATTCTTTTTACCGTGGTGATGATGATGATGATGATATTGTTTGAGTAAATAATATTATGATATCAGGCTATTAACCATCTGAGGTAAAATTATAGCCTGTGGTAGTGAGCAGTGGAGATAAATTTAGCCTACAGGAGGCTTCAACTTTAACTATAAAAAGTAGATCATTTTGTTTTTTTCTTCAGTATTTTGGTTAAAAACTGAATGTTTTGTATGCCGTCAAATACAATAATATTTTGTAATAAAAGTAATTTATCTACATAAAAGTAATTAGTACACAAAGCCAAATTCTTAAGTCTATCATTCATTTTCTATAAATTTTAATGGAAATTTCTATCTAGTTTTTTGTTTCGTTGAATTTCCTTATGTTATTATAGTGATTAATAAAGTTATGGTTCTTCTAAAAAAATCCTAAGTTACCTCAAATTTTTACTCCTTAACTACATAAAGTAGTTAAATACCACTATCTGATAACATTAAGGAAGGAAATCATCCAATTAAATTTCAGATACCTCTGTAAGGAACAATTAGGCTGGATTTGATTGTTTTTTTTTCTAAAGACAAAAACTAAAAAAATATTATAGATAATTTTTTATATCAGATATTTCTTTAAAATTATGATGGATTTTACAACAGAAACTTCAGCACTTATTTGCTCTTTATTCAGCTTATAAATATCAGATTACACTTTGATATCCTGATATTTATTGCTGATATCAGACATGTTGTTTATTTTGTTTCTTCTCTCTTTTGATTGGTTTCAAAAGTTACTTGTCGAGAAAAAAAAAACACATTACAACTTCCTTGCCTAATCTGTTTCTTGATCAATTCCTAACATTCAATTGAAAGTGACCAATCTCAGGACTTGAGTGTGAGTGATACATAATTTTAATTACCCTCAGGACTTTGAAGACCTCAGGAAATAACAGTTGCTATACATTTGACAATAGCCCAACCACAAAAAAAGCTGGCACATGCAAACCAATCTGTTTATTGACAGTATTCAATTAACAATGATTTACATTGCCATTAATATCCAAGACCAATAAGTAGACAAATAAAAACTTGTTTTTTTTACTTTTATTTGTTATTTTTGTCTGTGTAAAAGATCTCGGATGAATTCTGCCAAATTACAATAGGATAACTAATCATAAGAGGCTTTTTCAGTATATCAACAAAATAAAAATTAAGTTAATATTTTTATCATAAATATAAGTAATTCTTTAAAAGGAGAAACTTTTAATTTTTACAAACATAGTTTTCCTCTCTTTCCATCTATGTTTTCAAGACAAAAATAATATTGTTACACTTTTTCAGATGTGAATAATGTCAGAATTTTTGTTATTTTTTCATATGCTGATAAACTAGATTATTTTTCAGATATGGTTTGAATGTTGCCATGAATGTTGTGGTTTTTTTTTTATCAAATGTATACATATTCCCTTAGTAAAATGGACATCTTTTATCCTGAAATGGTTGTGCAGCTGTAACAGCTGAACTTGGTCAAAACAAAAATCCATATAATTATGTTTTTTATTCATCCTTGAAGTTCATAATTCATCTGAAAAAAAGTCATTGTCAAACTTCATTTACTTCAATATTATAGGTATTAAGCCAATGTTCACATCACTGAATTTTTATATTATTTATATAATGCCAATTTTTTTTAATTGCTTAAGATGAGAAACAATGCTTAACAAACCAGACTAGCATTTGGTGCCTCACTTACAATGCTGACATGAAACATGGATTAGATAAACACAATTTTACCCTGAAATACCTAAAATTATTTCAGTTATGAAGGTTACAACAGTTTCAAGATTCTACACCATTTATTTGTATGCATCAAGACTGTTTAGGTGCCAGTCATGAAACATCACAATGAAATCAGTAAGTCCTGTAATCACAGACTCTTGTATACTCCACTCCAAGTAGGGAAACATGTAACATCTTTACAGGTAGCATAAAATATATTGGAAAATAAATTAGCTCTTCAAGATTTATTGGCAGAAAGTTAAAAAGAAAAAAAAAACATCATAATAATTAATGTGTGTGCAATGTCAGTTTTGCTATTGACCAAGTCAATCCACATCTCTTTACCTTCCACTTCTTCAAAATAATCAGAATAAGTGATTCTGCTAAAGTGAAACATTAACAAAGTAGTTTGAATAATTAATCATCTAAAAATGCTCACAGCCAAAAAGAACTGCTACTTACATGCCATTATTAACTGGTAGCAGTAATAGATGCCATTTCTACTGCAAATGATCACATGATCAATAGCCATTAATTTCT